CCCAGGGAACAGTTGAGGGCTTGCAGGCTCAGCTTAGCAGTGCTGAGGCCTTTGAAGACAGCGACCTGCCATTCAGAAGTAGAAACCCGGAGGGCCAACGGCTGGCTGGAGAATCCTGAGAATCCCGTGGGAACCCTCAGGGAGCAGGCAGCTCAGACCTTTAATTACACAGTGAAACTCCCTGGCTGTGAAACCAGGCATCAAAGTCCCCAGCCCCAGTGTTCCCCTGGGACCACCAGAAGCCCCTGGGTGTTACATAGAAAGGTGGGAAAGACAGTGGACTGGCGGGACCTCCAGATTGTTCTTTATGCCTCCTGTGTCCCAGACTTGGTGCCCAAGAAGCTGGCTCCCCAGAAACATCACTGGGCAGAGAAAGAAAAAAATCCCCAACAGAAGTCGGCTCTTTATAGCCAAGGAGAAAACTTGCAAACAGCAACTGCTCTACTCTTTCCACCAGGGTCCCCATCACGCCAAGTCCAGGCAGAGGCGGTCTAGCACTCCCAGGGGACCGGATGAAGCGTCCCAACAGCCCTGCCCACGTAGTGACAGGGAAGGAGTCTCCCAAGCCCAGTGGTGCCCCAGGTTAATTGTACCAAACACTGAAAAGAAAAGCAACACCAATCACATACACTGTTCCAGAAAACAGAGAAGAAGGGAACACTTCCGTGCCAGGCTACTCCAAAGCACAGCAAGATGGAGCAATCAGAGAAGCCTACCGGAACACAGGTGCAAAACTCGCTAGGGAGACATTCGCAAATGAAACCCACAACACAGCAGCCTGATCAAACAGCACTCGTTCTAGGGACACACAGCTACTTTGGCATCTGAAAAATCAATGCGGTTCCTCAGAAAATCCCCGAAACCAATAAATTAAATGAGGTCAACAGTCAGAGGATACACAATAAATATACAACATTAATTGCATTTTCACATGTTTGCAATGACTATGGATACAATTATTAGGGGGAAAAAAAAGAAATTAATGGTGCTCTTACAGGACTCACATGATGAAAAACACTAAAAATCCAAGTAAATACAGAGTGTGTTCCCCCACTGAAAGATTCACCATGGGTCAAGTCTCTTCTTCCTCCAAAAAGCCGTGTAAATTTAAGGCAAACACTGCCAAGTTTCAACAAGGCTTTTGCTGCTGTGGATAGAAACAAACATTTTTCTAAAATTCAAATGAAATGCAAAAGAACTAGAATAGCTAGGATAATCCCAAGAAAGAAGAATGATATTAGAGGGATCAGTCAAGAGCTATTAGTACTCAAGACTGGGTGATGCTGAAAGAGAAATCCATGGCCCAGTGAGACGGAATCAAGAATCCAGAACAAGTGCCACCCAACAGGCCTAACTAGACAACACTGCCAACAAACAGCAGTACAGGAAGCAGGCTTGCATGGGCCAAAAAAAGGACTCAAGTCTCAAAGCTTACACAAAGACGAACTCAAAATGGAAGACATTTAAAAAAAAAACACACACACACACACACACACACACAGAGAAACTACAAAACTTTTAGGTGAAAGAAAACCCAGGAGGAAATCTTCAGGATCTAGGACTGGACAAAGAGCTCTTTAAAGAGTTGAAACCACCAGTGCAAACCATAAAGGGAAAACTGATACACTGGGATTCACTTCGAACGCCTGCCCTTCCAGAAACCTGTTAGAGGATAAAGGCAAGCTACAGCCTGGGAGAAGAGAACTGCAAGCACACACCCAGCAGAGCGAGGACTCTCCATCAAGAGCTGGCCCAACCTTAAAATGATAAGAAAACTAAACATAGCAGGATGAGTAAACTGGACGACAGCTCACTGAAAAGGACACATGGCAGCTGATGGTGACAACACACCCAGCATCACAGGTCCTTAGGGAGACAAATTCAAACCACAATGAAGAATATCCTATACTCCCACAGGATAGCTAAAACCAGACCCAAAACCACCTGGGCAAAGCCACCACATGCCCGTGAGGATGCAAGCAAACTGGATCCCTCGTCCACTGCCCATGGGAATATAAAACAGGACAACCACTCTGGGAAACAGTTTCTTGACAATCCAAACACGCAACTATGACACCATCCCACAATTATACTCCTGGGCTTTCCTCTCAGAGAAAAAAAAAAAACGGGCAAGCTGCACGCAAATGCTTAAACCAGCTTTCTTCCTAACAGTCCCAGACTGAACAAGAGGCAAGACCCTTCAAAAGCAACCGACGAGCTGCTGGGGTACAGGTGTACAACGCAACGCCACCCAGCAGTACAAAGGATGGGCTACCCACACTCGGGCTCACGAAGGCCCAGCTTCACGGCACTGTGAAGAGCACACTCAGCAGAGCCCACGTTTGGGACTTTGGATCCCACTGCCTCAGCAGATGAGGGACCCACGGCGCTACACCTCTAGAGAGGTTGGGCAGAAGCTGCAAGTACAGCCCTAGTTAGCCCCACAATCACGAGGGGAAGCCACGCTGACTCCAGTGAGTAGCCCAGCTGGTCCCTTTTGTTTGCTTGTTGGCAGGCCAGGCATACTAGGCACAGTTCATGCCCACGTGCGAGGAATTGGCTGGTTCTCAGCTCACTATTGGGTGTCTTAGGGTGTGGGGATCAACGGGAAACACAAGTTTTACATGTGTGGTATAAGGTGGGGTGAGGGGGTGGGACAGAAGCAGAAGGCTATGTCAAGGCTCTGGGACTCACAACACCAGGGAATTGCCATCTGGGCTGTATGGGAAAACATCACTAAAGGAGGAAGTACCTTAGGGACAGCTTTTAGAAAGGAAGTGACTGCTATGATGGACTTTTCCCTAAAGTCATAAACCTTCCAATGGCACAGGCCTGGCACTGGCAAACTGGGCAGAAGAAATCAGAGCATCTGCTCTTCACTTTCCTGCTCCTCCGCACTGTGGTCCCTCCCTTCACAGTCCCAGCAATCACCAAGAGCCCAGAAATGGCTAAACTGACTGGAGGAGTGCCTTTAGCAGCTACTCCCTGCTGGGAAGGAGGACAGAAACTGTGCAGGGGCACTAGGCCTGCAACTGTAATGAGAAGGCACCATGGGGGGCATTTCATACCACCAGGCCTATAGAAACTGGTCATGCACTTGGCTAGATCACTAAAAGCAAGCACTCTCTCCAGAGAGCCAAGTGGATGACAGCCCAGCATAACCAGAGACAGGAAGTGGGGGCCGGGCTGTTTTGCTTCATATTTATCTGGTCTTGGAGCTAATGTATATTCTGCCATGACTCATTCATTAGGATTCCGGGTGAAACAGGGGCCTGCATACTTTAATGGTCCCAGCCACCAAGCAAACAAGAAAACATGTCAATCTTCCTCCCACTCCAGCCCCAGGCAAAGAGCTTCACCCCTGCTTGACCCTTGCATGGCCACCAAGCCTAAACAGCTAATAGAGACTGAGACAGCAGCAATACAGGGAAGAAGGGAAATTCCTTCCTCTCTGCCCACAGCCATCCTCAATCATAATGCATGGAGATGTCCCAAAGCAGACACACACAGATGACAGGACTTGGAAGGCAAGAACAAGGGCACGCAGGCTAAGAGTGAGGCCTTCACAGGCCAACTCTTGGTCAACCACCCCAGGCCACTAGCAGACACAAAAGCAAGTCTAAGGGCAGGCCAACTGCAGGAGTAGCTCTGGGCTTCTCTTGCCCACTGCATCATTTGAAGGAAATGATGCCAAGATAGGAGGCCATAAAGACAGAGCCAACACTGCCTGTGGGATCTGCCAAGGAGGCCACAGTGGGCACTGGTTGAAGCAGGCAGCTGCTCCCCTGGTCTCTGGGCCTCTCTCTCAGAGCCCATGAAACAAACACGTAACACAAACCTGTAAGGAAAGGATCAAAATTCGCTTCCACCTGCACTAAGCTGAAAAATCAGAGAAAAACACCACTCAGGGTCTCTAACTACTGTCCCCCAAAGTCAAAATCCTAAAAAAGCACTGCAGTAGGTCTTGACAACCCCCTCACCCTTCCCCATGGAACTCGGCGCCAAAACAGGACCAGAGCTACAAATCAACCACAGCACAAATGAACAAAATCCTGGAAGACAAAGAAGAGATGGCTGATGGTGAGATTTTCAGAGGAAAGTCCGACAGGGTATGTTAGCTCAAACTAGCACCCGCTTTGAATGTTACAGGCTTTGTGGTTGGCACAAATTATCATCTGATCTCTCTAGCTTGAACTAATTTCATCCCACACACCAGGTACTTTCCAATAACAGGCATCATACACTCGTTAAATTCGTGTATTTGTCAACCACAGCTGTTCCATGAACAGAAGTAAAATGATAGAGGCAGAAGGCAGGTATCATTGTGCTAGGTTTTTCACAAGTGGCCACCTGCAGCTCACATAGGAACAAAGCCGTAAACACACATCCAGCCCACCCAACTGGAGATGGGCAATGTAGAACTCACTGCAGTTTACATGGAGCACACTTTGGCCAGTCTTAAGTAAGGAAACTCGCTGTGAGGACCACCCATCTGTGCCTGAATATTAACAATGTGTCAGTATCACAACAAATAAGAGAAGTCAGTAGCCTTTAAATTCCCCAAATTGTCACTAATAATGCAGCAACACTGGCAACACAACATGAGCCAACATTTTACCCAACGGCATGGCATCAGGAACAGCTCAGCCTCGGACTTCCCATGTGCATGCCACTCCCTCGCAAGTACCTAGCTCCAAAACACCAGGACTCCACTGGCATACACAGCTTATGTCTGGTTGGAAGAATCACCTTCCCAACAAGCTGGCACTTAAAAAAAAAAAAAAAAAAAAAGATGTGTGTTTCAACACTGTTCCTGTCTAGTGAAAGTAGTCTTCTCTTTTACATGCCACGTTTGTGCACTTACACAATTACACACATGCACACCCACAGCCACACCCTCCACTGAGCTGAGCTCCCATCCCTAAAATCCACAGCTTCTTATTAAGCACTCGCATCTACAGACTCATCACAGAAACACCCAAATGTAAATGATACTCTACTTGTCCACTTGTATCTGCAGCCTGCTGGAAGTGCGTCGCCAGCGACGTCTCATCCTGGAAGACCTCGTTGCACTCCAAACACTTCAGGCTATGTCTACAGAGTTTGGAGGGGTCCTCGTCTAGGGGCATGGCTGGGGTGATGGGGGTGCTGGAAGGGGCAGAGATGACTGTCCCCGTGATGCCAGACTGGACTTTTGTGACGGTGTGCGTGCCAGCGGCTGTGGCACTCTGGACCGTGGCGGAGGAGGCTGAAGTATTGCTTGATGGGGAAGCGATCATCTGATCTGCTGGGACTGGCTTCAGAATTAAGTGGGAGCACTGCATGACCACGCCCTTCTCCTTATGCCCACGCGCGTGGGACAGGAGGCTACACTTATTGTAAAAAACGAGGTTCTTTGTACAGTGGTTGCATGTCACTTCGATACGCACGCTACGCCTGTCGTAGTGCTGGGTCAGGCTCTTTTCAAGTGCAAAGGAGTCACCGCACTCCAAGCACTTGTAGCCCCGCGTCGGTAACGTGATCCCTGCATTGGCGGGAGGACTGAGGTTTGGGATGTAAACTGGGACTGGATTGACACTGCTCAGCACCTTGTTGAAAGCTTCCACCACCGAGCTCTGCAAGGACGACACCACCTGGACCCGTGACACTTTCTTGGGTGGCTGTGAGGCCGCCGCATTGATTATTGCCTGCTTTATTTGTTGCTGAGGTTTGGTTAGCACTTGGCGGAGTTCCGAGGTGGCCTGGGCACCCTGAGGCAGAAGGTTAAGGTTGGCAAGGTGCACAGTCTTTGGCACGAGTTTGGCATTGGCCAGGCTGGATGCCGGCACCACGACAGTTTGCTGCTGGATGGCATTGGCAGCTTTGATGATGGCACTGCTGGCACTCTGGACAGAGGCCGCAGATATGACCGTGGCTTTCACTGTCGTGTTGTTAGCGAGCTTCAGATTAATGACTTGGGACCCTGCTGTCTTTACAGCAGACACGGGGAGGAACGCGGTGGCCACGGGCTTGATGGTGACCTGTTTGGGCGTCAACTCAGCTGGGGAAACTGCGTTGGTGACCACTGCCGACTGCAGAGGTGCCCTGGGCGGGGAGGAGAGGACCGCAGCCGACGCTGGCGACGACAGCAGGGACGTAACAGAGGCCATCACGGATGCTGTCTGCTCGGAAGGCTTCTTCCCAGAGTCGAGATCCACTTCCGGCAACACCCTCGTCACGGTCCTCTTGATCTCCCCAGAGGATGTCTTAATGGTTTTAATGCGGACCTTGGGGATGGCGGGCGTGGAGCCCGCAGGAGAGGACGGGGACCCTTTGCTGCTGTTCTCGCTCGAGACACTCCGGGGACTGTCCGGCAGCTTGAGGCTTGCCCTCTTGGTCCCGTCAATGAGACTTTGGGTCTCTGGAGACTTGTCGGCAGCCCGGGGGCTGTCACTGGCCTCCTTGGGAAGCGGAGAGGACTCCCTAGAATTGGCTGCAGGTTCCTTGCTCGAGTCTGACGCCGCCTTTTTGGCGCTCAGGGCAGCAATGGCAGCGATGCATGAGGACAGCTTGGAGGATGACTTGTTCTTGGATGGTGCTACACCCACCAGGCCAGGCTCGCTCTTCTCGGAGCTCAGCTTGCCATCCAGGACTCTGTTTTCCAGCCCCTTCTCGGTGCTGTCCTTCAGTTTGTCCTCCGATTTCCTGACTTTGAAAGGTTCGTAGACACTCAGGTGGATGGAGTTTGTGTCCGTCTCTCTCTTTACAGCCTTGCTCTTTTCCATGCTGCTGGATGAAGAGTGTCCCGTTTTGCTTGCATTTTCTGCTCCGAGGGCCTTCAGCTTCTCATAGTCCTGCTGTGGAGCTGAGCCTGCCAACAGGGCAGTCCGGAAACCCGGGCGCCCATCTTCCTTGTCAGGGGGGTCATCCACTTCAATCTTCTCATCATCATCAAACTCCTCAGCGCTGGAGATGGGGCTAAACTGGCTGAAGGCGGAGTCTTTCAGAGTGACCTCAGAAGTGGGCACATCCCCCTTTAAGGCCTTGGTCCCTTCCTTGCCATAGCTGTCGAGCGAAGAGGCCGTAAGGAAGCCATTGTGCAGGCCATTGCCCGTGGCGTTGTGGCCATCCTTGTCTACACCCTCAGTGGAGTCAATGTTGCGCACATTCTTGACGATCACGCTAACTCCCACGTCAGAAGATGATGGTGTGTGCGAGTCATCGTCACCGTGAGCATTCTGCTTAATATGGCTGTCATGGTCATCATGTCCAGACTCGATAGCTGCTTTGGGATCCACCATGTCCGGGATGTCAAACGCCGCCAGGAGGTCATCGAAGTCCGGGGTCTTCATATCCCCCATGGTCATGAATTTGATCAGATGTTCTGTTAAATAAACAGAAAAGGAGCCCATCAGAGGGTTGGTAAAAATGAGAGCTGTTTCCCTGCGGCAGAAGTCGCATTAACACAGTGAATCCTGTGAGAAAGGGCAAACAGCAATTGCAGTCACCACACGAGCCCAATGCAAGGCGCGTCCAGGACCTGCATACAAAGCACACGGATTCACCGTGAGCGAATGGATCTCTCCAGAGGGCTGGCCAGCATCCCGGCACCGCTCCCTGACCAGAAGGAAGGTGTTTGTGGAGTAGCAGGTAGAGCTGCCACTGACCACCAGGCTCAGTGCTGTGAGTAAAGGCTACTTGACAACCTACATGGAGCCTGCTGGCCTTCACTTCTGCAGAGGCAGCATGCTCACTTCTGATGGCTACCACGGTGGCCAGAAAAGGATAGAGTTTGCCTCCAACCAAACCCGGAATGGATGGAGGAATTCTGGCGGGCCCCTCAGGCAGTGAGACCAACGTTGCAATAATGAGGGGCACAGACCCATATCCCCCCCCACCATAAGGGCCAAGGTGACCCCCATCTCGGCTTCCATGTCAAGGAGAGTTTAAAAAGGCCCCTTCTCCTGTCTCTTCCGCACTCTTCTTCCTCTGCAGCCGCTCCCTCACATCTGTCCTTTCTGCTGCATGGGGAAGGGAAGCCCATGACCATGCTTCCCTGAAATAAAGGCCATCCAAATTCGTTTCATATATTTGGCTGAGTTATTCTTTCCCTAGTGGTCGGCGAATCTAACATTTTGGTGAGCAGCAAATCTAACAGCTTTCACAGACACATCGGATCTGGGCTACCACACTAGAACCAAGAAATGACAATCTCACAGCCAATTACGGACTGTAATATTCATCTGCCCCAGAGAGGACAAACGTCCCAACCTGCCATGGCTACTGTAGACGTCAATTCTACCTGGCACTGAGAGGAGCCGATTGCTCCCCGTTGGTCCCACCATGCTCCTCTTGGGAAAGCCAGCATGTGGTCTCCTCAGGAAATGGTGAGCCACGCTGGGGCTGAAGTCAGAGGATGTGGTAGCACACACAGCGGCTAGAGTCTAGGACACCATCCCGTACACCCCACACCACAGGGCATATGTGCCCTCTTGCATGCACACTGCCTCGGCATGTGACTCAGTGTCTTCTCACCCACTTGCCTGTGAGCTGCCTAACAGCAGGCTGACAGTCATGTTGGCACCATCAGTGCCAAACCGTGACCAGGCCCCAGGTCAGGGACCAGAGCCTGGGGCCCCCAGCTTGGAAGCACCCAAAGAGAACAGGCCCTGCACCAGCTCATCTTTCCTACAGCAGAGGCAGTGAATCATGGAGAGAAGGAAACAGGAGGAGATCAGGAAGATGAAAAATGAAAAGAGGGCGCAGGGAGAGAAGAACAGGAAGAAGGAAGGAAGGGAAGAAGTGGGCTCGGCGTGGTAGCCTAGTGGCTAAAGCCCTCGCCTTGTATGCACCAGGATCCCATACGAGCACTGGTTCATGCCCTAGCTACTCCACTTCCAGCTCCCTGCCTGGGGTCTGGGAAAGCAGTCGAGGACGGCCCAAAGCCTTGGGACCCTGCACTTACGTGGGAGACCTGGGAGAAGCTCTTGGCTCCTGACTTTAGATCAGCTCAGCTCTGGCCACCGTGGCCACTTGGGGAGTGAACCAGCAGATGAAAGATCTTTCTCTGTCTCTCCTCCTCTCTGTATATATGCCTTTCCAATCAAAATAAATAAACCTTTAATTTTAAAAAAATGAAAGAGGGCCTGGCGCGATGACGCAGTGGTTAAGGTCCTCGCCTTTCACGCCCGGGATCCCATATGAGTGCCGGTTCTAATCCCGGCGGCCCCACTTCCCATCCAGCTCCCTGCCTGTGGCCTGGGAAAGCAGTCAAGGACAGCCCAAAGCTTTGGGACCCTGCACCCGCGTGGGAGACCTGGAAGAGGCTCCTGGCTTTGGATCAGCATAGCATCGACCGTTGCGCTCACTTGGAGAGTGAATCATTGGACGGAAGATCTTCCTCTCTGTCTCTCCTCTCTGTATATCCACCTTTCCAATAAAAAAATAAAATAAATCTTAAAAAAAAAATGAAAAGGAAGGGAGAGAGAGAGAAGAAAGAGTAACAGTGATGGAGACAGCGGGAGACAGAGATCTTCCATTCACTGGTTCACTCGCTAGTAATCAGAGCATCCAGGGCTGGGCCAGGCCAAGGGCAGGAGGCAGGAACTCCCATTCAGGTCTCCCACATGCGGGGGAGGTGGGGGCCAGAGCCTCCGTACTTGGGCCACCCAACTGCTGTCTTCTCAGGCACAGCAGCAGAAGATGGACAGGCAGCAGAGCATTCAGAAGTTGAACAAGCCTCTGACAAGGGACACTGGCTTCGCAAGAAGCAGCTTAACCCACTGCACCACATTGTCCACCTCAATAAAGTTATTTTGAAAGCTTATAGAAAACAACACATAATAAGACTGTCAAATATGGGAAATAAAAAGCCTATCTGTCAGTCACTAGATCCATGCAAGCCCCCACTACTTAGCAACAGGTGATGGGTGTTACTTCCTCTCTTTATGATCCCGGTGAGAAAAAGTCATGCCATGAGGTTGCCCTGTACACCCAGAGGGGATCCATGCATGAATAAACAGAAGACAGGTGCTAATCCAGACCCTGAGTGGGTGGTGTGTGTAGGACCCACAGCCACAAACAATGATTCAGGACTGTCCATAGGAAAATAGAACCAAGCAACCAACCAAGCAAATGAGCAGTACTGCCAGCAGGTACTCCCACAACTACCTGGAAAAAAAAATACATGAATCCCGCCCCCTATGCTCCCACGATACCTAACAACAGGGTGACACTTGTTCTGTGCGCACACACATACACACAGCAAGGTGCTGAGTCAACTGAGCCGACCCTGGCCTTCCAGTTCCTCGCCTGCCTGCAGGAGCAGAGTAAAGGCCTAGCAAGTCTGCAGATTGCACCGCCGGAGGTCTGGAGGAGCCATGCGGCCGGCGGGAGAGACTCCACGGTAACCCACCACACTGGACACACCAGGACCACCTAGGCCGCCTTGGAGCCACGTCCTGCTCTTGCCGGGCAGAATGAGGGTCTTCCTCAGAAGACTGAATTGCCAGCAGTATAAAACAGGAGTCAGCCATGCCGACTGCCTGCTGTGGCTGAACCAGCAAAGGACGCACAAACCCAAGAGGGCCGAGGCAGCTGACCTCACCTCTCCCGGGATACGTAATTAACACGGCAAACACTGCTTTGGGGAACGTCACACTTCTTTTTTGGCTCCTACAAATGCTTTTAGTACCCATGATCAAAGTGTTCTATTACCCTTTCCGTCCCCATATCCTGCAAGGCAAGAGCGAATGGATGTTCCACTTGGAGGGGAAAAAATGGTTTAACTCACCCTCCTCAATTTGTAGTGAATACAAACAGCAACATTAACATTCCAGAGTGCTCTTCATTTTCCATGCCAGGACACCCTTAAAATAGACCCTTGTGCATAAAAACATCATAAAAATAAGTCTCAGTCCTCATTTATTGACTTAGTGAAACAGAGATGGACACTGGTTCACCCAGCCTGCCACAGCTGGGACAGAGCCAGGCCATAGCTGCAGCTGAGGGCTGAGCACTGGAGACAGGTCTCTCACCTTGGGGGCAGGGGGCAGGGATACATCACCACTGCTTCCCAGGGTCTGCTTTAGCTCCCTGCTGATGCACCTGCCAAGGCAGCAGAAGCCGGACCAGGTGTGTGGGGCCCTGCATCTACACGGAAAACCGGAAGTTCCTGGCTCCTGGCTTCAGATCTGCTCAGCTCTGACCATAGCAGCCTTTTGGGGAAAGAACCAACAAATAAAAGATTTCTATCTCTTTGTCTCCCTCTCTTTCTCTGTAACTGCCTTTCAAATAAAAAAAATACATGTTAAAAAAAAAACTAGGCCCTATAAAAACTTACTATTCACTAATGGGACTTACGTCTAACATAATGCCCTTTCACTTGAAGACACAGAAAGGATCTGAAGAAAAAAAAAAAAAACTGTTGACAGGAAAGTGAGTTGAAAGAACTCCAATCTGTCATATCATCATTTTATTCCCTCCCATGAAACAGACAAATCATTGCGTTTTCTACCAAAGCCACTGACACAAGTCAGAATTGGTCAAGTCCAAAGAAAAACTTAAAAACCTATTTGCTCTTCATCATGCTCTTACACTCCACAATACAAAACCTTCACTTTCCCAGCCCCAGCTACAGAGCGCCAGTGCAAAAGGCTGCACGCTGACTCTGCCCATCAGAAGTGAATGTCAACCGCTCCCCACGCTGCCAGACTCCTATTTAAATCCAGTCACTGTTTTGCCTCCAAAATGAACACACACATTTCTCTAATTCAGGAAAACACAACAGGGTTTCCCACTCAAAGTAACATTTTCCTTAATGAAAATAAATGAACTTTCAGGCCCTAGCAGTCCTATTTAAAGAAAAACAGATCAAAATCTATTGACCATGCTGACATTGTTTTGGAAATTTTCTGTAAACAACAGCAAGAACTCCAGGTTTGCTGTTCTCTTTTAGGATTTCCTGTCACTACTTTGTAACAATATCTGCTCAATGAAGTCCTTATTATACTGAGCTTTCTTAAATGGTTATTTACTTTTTGAAAAGCAGTTACACAGACACAGAGATCTTCCATCTGGTCGATTATTCTCCAGATGGCCACAAGAGTTAGGGCCGACCGGGCCACAGACAGGAGAATAGAACTCTTGAGTCTCAGAGTAGAGGGCGGGACCCAAGTACCTGGGCAACCACCCACTACCTTCCCAGGTACCTGAGCAGGGAGCTGGACGGGAAGCCAGGACTCAAACCAGCACTGAAATGGGATAGTGGCATTGCAGGTGGTTAGCTCAATGAGCCACAATGCTTTCCCCTCCTTTGAACTTAAAAAGCAAATTCTGAGCCAGTACTATAATGTAGAGGATTAAGCTGCTGCCTATGGCAACAGT